AAGTTTCAAGTTGCAATCAATGATAATATTAATTACCAGAGACAAATTTGTCGTTTGTCCAATCATCGTTTTATTTTCAAATTGCAAATTGAATGAGATGATGATGATGATAATGATTAAATTCCACATATTTAAATAGATATTATTCGCAAAATCTGATTTGAAATGAATGGTGGTGAAAGTGAGCCACACCTGCTTAAATGAATGTTTTTCATATGTTTTTTTTTTTTTGCTTATTCAACAACAACAACAACAACCAAACGAATTGGTTGATTCATGCTCTCATTCAATTTTGATTCGATTTTTTTTATGTTGCCCGAATTGTGATTCGGTTGTTGATTGCAAATTTTTTGTTTTTTTTTCTTCTTTGAAATATTTTTTTTTTTGCAATGATCATCATTTGAAAAACAATAAAAATGATCTATGATGATGATGATGATGATTATAATAAATTTTTAATTATAGGTTTTTACAACAACAACAACAAATGATCATCAGTGAAAATAAAAGAAAAACTTGAAACACACACACATGGAGCGAGAGAGAGAAATGAAATTAAATTGACCTGTAGCGAGCGCGCGCGACCCAAGTTTACATTTTTTTTTTTTTTTTGTTCTTTGCAAACGATTCCAAACAAAGCAATTTATTATTATCATCCATCCATCCATCCACCATTTTTATATTCAGATTTGGTTTGAATTTTTTTTGTCCGTTTATGTTTCTTTTCGTTTCACTTTGTTGTTGTACATACAGTTCATTTGATTATCATAACCATTTTTTTTTCTAATTGCTTCATGGCAATTCTATTCGATCTTGCATAATTTTTTTCCTTCATTTCTGGGAGGAATGATGATGAATACCCCTCTACCATCATCATCATCATTGTAGAGGGAATAATAATTCATCGGTTTATTTACCAAACAAAATATATATTCAGAATTATTTCGTTCAGAATAAATGTGGTGTGTGTGTGTCTGCGTTAATTAAACATTAAAAAAAATATGTAAGAATGTTGTATACAAAGCACTGTAAATGATTAATTGAACATTATAGATTTCATTTCATTTCATTCCATTTTTTGTTCAAACGAAGAAAAAAAAAATTTGACATTAACCAAATGTATATTTGATGAACATGGAAACAAAAAACTTGTTTCGATTTTTTTTTCTTGTTTGTTTGTGGCCAACGGAAAAAAAACAAGATGAGAAACAAAATTTTTAATGATAATTAACTGAAAACATTCATTTTTTCCTTTGATGTTAATGAAATTTACATCTCTCCAACCAGAATTTATTTGTATTTGTATTTTCTTTCCATATATATCTATTATTATTATAAAGATGAATGTTCGATTAATTATCGATTGATTGAATGTAAATGACCGCTTCAATGATTGGCTGTGATTTCAAAATTATGATGGCTAGGCGCCATCCATTAACGTACATATAGAGTTCTGTATGTATATGATGGGCCTGTCTTTTTATTTCTATCACAACCATCATTTAAAAACTTGTGTCTCTGCCAAATCGTCATTCATTCATTCATTCATTCAATTTAAGATCTATTCCACTATACTTGAATTTCAAAGGGCGGTATCTTTACAATTTCTTTTATTTATATGTCTGTATACATATGTGTATGTGTGTTTGTATTTTGGACAATTGTGTGTATAGTTTGTATTCCATTCCATTCATATATAATATCATTGAATTCATTCGTAATTCAAAATACAGATATACCAAAAATTGGTACGATTGGTCGATTTTCTTTTACGAATCATCATGATGAACAATCTCAAACCAGATGCACACATACACACACACACACAAAAATACAATATGATCATTGATCATGAGCAATGGATTGAAGATTGTAGACAAATATGATGATGAACAAAAATTTCTTCATTCTTCTAGTTGCCATTCAGGTTCTCATCCAATACAAGAAAGAAAGAAAAAAAAAAAAACTAGAATGACGAAGAATGGAAATATATATAAAAAAATCAACCGAGAAATGAAATGAATTACAAACCAAAAAAAAAAAAAAAAAAAAAAAACTTGTCCTACCAATTTGTTCATGCGCATTGATGAATGTTGATGATGATGTGAATGAATTTTTCTTGTCTTCGAATTCAATCATTGAAAATATATTTGAATGACATGCACACACAGGATGGACAGACAGACGGACGGAAATTCAGAATTCGAATGGCGCCCAATCAATGTAATAATAATAATCATCATTTGTTGTTGATTAGTGCGCCTGTATTAGTGCGCCTGTGTATGTGGAAATGGACGCCATCATCATTTGATTCGAAATCATTCACGCATGTCGTTTAGTTTTCCATTGAGAGAGAGAGACAGAGAAAAAAAACAGAAATTTTTCCTGTCAAATTCTTTGAAAGACTGAATTTGTGACAATTCTAATGGTATGATTCCAATTATATATGAGAAATGGCTGCTTTCAGTTATTATTTGATTTCGTTTTTTTTCTATCTATCTCTCTTGCTCTATTTGTGTTTGCAATTTGGCACATTCTTGGCTCTATAATGTTTGTTGATGATGATGATGAGCAGGCCCTAGAAAATTCTGGAATTCTAGAATGCCTAGAATTTCAAAAGAATTTTATGTCTCCAAGAGAATTCGTTTTTCTACTTCCACTATATTGATCGATATTTTTTTTCTGCATTTTTTTGTGTTTTTGTGTGTGTGTGTGTGTGCATGTAGGTTCATTGAGCATCCTTTTCTCGAATAAATTGAATGCATTATGTTTGGTATTTGGAATTTCAATTTGGATCCCATAGCTGTTTGTGATTACGTTTTTTTTCTTTCTCTTTTTTTTTACTTGAAAAGTTTTTCTCGAAAAATGAATAAAAAAAAGTAGGCAATTCTATGGAATATGCGTGTAAAAGATTCTGCAACAATATGAGAATTCTTGTTTTCCGTTTCCGAATGGCAAAAAAAGGATGAACGAATAGTATGAATGATTCGTATTTTGAATGTATGAAATTTTGAATAACAAATGCCACATCCCTAAATTCCACATGCACATTGAACACAAACACAAACCTATTTTATCATTTCAATTCAAATAATTTTTTTTTCTCTTCTAATTTTGTCCATCCTACTATCTATTGCTATACACATCCTTAGAGTTGAAGTTTTATTTCTTTTTCTTCTTCTTCTTCTTCTTTTTTACATTTCTATTTCTTCTCTCTCTCTCTATATATATGAGTGTGTGTGTGTCTCTTGTATTCTTTTTTTCATATTTCAATTCCAAATATAATATAACCAGCAGAAATAATTCGTGAACACTGAATATGTTTGTGTGTGTGAATGTGTGTATTGAATGACGATTCGGTTCAGTAGAGTTCAGGTTGTTTTTTTTTTTGACTGTCATTTTATTTGTTTCTGGTTTCTCCATGAAAAAAAAACAATACGGAAAAAACTTTTTATTACAAGTTTTAGTTGATTTTTAATACATGATGATGTTTAATAGTAGTGGTATAGTGGCAGCATATTTCATCATAGGAATAACAAAGCCAAAAAAAAAAAAATGTATTTGATATATATATACAAACAAGACAAATGAAAAAAAAAAAAAAAAAATTGAAAAAAAACTGAACTGGCTGTTGGAGAGAGAGAGAGAGAGAGACTAGAACACAATCTTTTCCATATACTCAATATATATAGCAAAGACACATTACATCTCTTAGTAATGATAGTGATGATAATGGATAATGTAATATAATTGAAATTGAATACAATTGATGATAATGGTGGCCAAAAAAAAAAAAAAAAACGAAAAATTTGAATCATATGAATTTGGCGCTGGATCCACTATCTATCTATCCATCTATCTATCTACTGGTGGAAATATGAAGAATATTCAACACAGACACACATACATTGAATGAATGAATGCCAATGAATTTGAGAATGATTGAAATGTGAATGAAAAAATGAATAAAATGAAATGAATGAATGAGCCAACCAAACAGATATTTTTAAAAAAACCAGAAAAAAAAACTAAATGGTGGCAACCCAGAAAAATTTTTTTTTCTTCCATTTTTTTCTACTGTTCAAATGAGAGATACAGAAAGAGAGAGAGAATACAAATATAAAAAGTGGGAGAGACAAACACACACACATACATACATACATACTTCTCTTTGGGTTATATATATAAATTCAATGTGTGGTGTACACACACACATTGGGTGTTTATATCATCGAAAAAAAAAAAAAAAAAATAGTAATTTGAAAAAATAAACTTTTTAACGTTTTGCGTTTGCGTTTCGATTTCAAATCCATTCCCACTTTGGATTGTTCTCGCCTCTTTTTTTTATTATTATTCTCCTATTTGGCATTCACATTCACATTCACATTTACAATTCATATTCATTCAAATATACTTCTTTCTTTCTTTATTTCTGGTGGGCATCTTTCTTCTTCTATACATACCATACATACACACACTGTCTCTGTATATATGTGTGTTTTTTTTTCTATTTCTGTTTGCGATTGTATGTATGTCTCTTGTGATTCGGTGTTAAAGTTCTTCATTTTTTTGTTGTTGTTGTTGTTGTTATTCCAATGTTTTTTTTCTGTGTCTGTATGTGTATGTGTGCTTCAACATTCATTTTGGATGATATATATGTATATGTTATATGGAAAAAAAATAGAAAAAATACTTTGGTTTTAGTAGTTATTGCTTCTCTCTGGTATCTATCTATCTATCTGTATATCTGGTATTTATATGTATGTATGTGTGACTGTGTGTGTGTGTTGGTTGCACATATATACATTTCTTCTTCGTTTTTGTTGGAACAATTCGAATTTTGTATGTCTGTATATGTGTTTGTGTTTGTGTTTCTGTTTCGGTTTCATTTGGTGTTCAGATTCGATTGTGTGCAAACGTTTATAAAAAAAAACTTTTTTTCATTCATTCATTGCATTTGTTTTGTTTGTTGGAATTCAAAGTTTTTCAAATCATTTGTTCTGTTTTTTAGTGGGGATGTTTTTTTTTGTTTAAATAGTGACAAGATATCATTGTACACACCCACCACCATATTCACATATAAATGTACTAATAAATCATACGTACACACCTTGTTTTCGAATTTATTCTGTTTTATGTATTTTGATTTCTATGTCCGTATTCTCATCAAATCAATTGTTGATGACATATTTCATATATTTAAATCATCCACATATCTACATATTTTACATTTGTTGCAATAAAAACAATACGCCCATAACATCATAATAATAATAATAATACATCATAACCCACCCATTTTATCACTGCTTTTTTTCTGTTTTCAATATTGATTGATCTCATCTTTATTATTGATCTTTTGTTTTTGAACAACAACTACAACCAATTACAGAATGTCTCAAGTATCCGTATCGCCAAGCCCAAGACATTCAAGCTATCATCATCAATTACCTGCAAATAGTAGTCCAACATCAACCATCAGTGATGATGATGATCTAAGTAATCATTCGGATTCACCAAATGATCTCAGAACAGCTCGTAAGTATTTTTTCGTTTGTTTGTTTTTTTTGTTGAAATTCACCAAATTCTTTTGAATGGTATGATTATTATCAATATATTGAGAATTTCGGTTAAGAAGAATATTCCTTGCATGTAAAAGTGTCAAAAAATGATTCATTTTGTTGTTGTTTTTGTTTACAAGTCAAGAATATTTCTACTAGATTGATGATAAATATTTTTTTTTCTCACTCAAATCAGGGTCGACATTTCATTGATTCTTGATGATCCTGTTTTTTTTTCTTGGTGAATGGATAGATTGTTTCATAGGGATTTTTGTTTATTTTTTTTTCATTCTAAATATACAATTCAATTTTGGTTCATCATATGGTGGTTTAACCCAAAAGCCCAACCTAAGCTAAGCTCACGCCTTGTATCTATATGTATGTTTCTGGTTGCTCTTGGTGATGATGATGATGATGTTGATGATGACAGTGAGTCGGTTCATAATATTGATGATGATGATATGGTTACCAGATGTGTGTGTGTGTGTGTGTGTGTAGTGTCCACCAATCAACTAAACAACCAAACAACCAGATACAATGGCAACCTTTGAAAGATATTCAACAACAACAACAACAACAACAAACACTTTGAGAGGAAAAAAACAAAACAAAAAAAAAAATAGAAGAAAAAAAAACTATAAGCCACCAGAATATCCTATCCATCGGATAGCTATGGTATGTGTTATGGATGGATGACTAGATGAATGAATGGTATGTGTGTGTGTGTGTGTGTGTGTGTATCGGTATGGATGGATATGGATGGATGGATATAGCCAACAAACTATATTCTTGAGTATTTTACACATACAAACACTTACTGATAGACTGGCGTGGTTTAAGCGGTGGTTTTATTTTTTGTCTAATAAAGAAACATATAAATGATGTTGATGATGTTTCAGGATCATAAAATGTTAGTAGTATATGTGTCTGTGTGTATGTGTGTGTGTGTGTGTGTGTTGTTAATATAATGGGTCAGATCGAGAACGGAATAAAAAAAAATTGAATAAAAAGGATTTAGCCATTGAGTAGCGAAAAAAAAAATTCCATAATCATTTTCTCAGTATTCAGACACAACGTTGTTGTTGTTGTTGTTGTTGTTTTGTTGTTGATTGTAATGTATTGAATGAATTTCTTTTGCATTTTTTTTTTGTTCTCCATGATCTTTGTATACAATGATGATTATATGAATTCTTTTTTTTCACTATTTCACTAAACAAAAAAAAATTCTGTAGAGAAATCATCACGACATCATAGTAGCGGTGGATTTGGAAATGGTACAGGAAGTGGCTATCATTCATTCTATTCACCACCACAATCACATCATAATAGTGGATCAAATAGTTCACATTCACAACAACCACAATATGTTGCAACTAATGAATGTCGTCTTATTGAATATCGTGGACATCGTATTGCAGCATTTTTGGCTGCAAATCGTCAAGGAGAATATCTGCTTTGTTTACCACAGGCATTTGAATTATTCTTGAAACATTTGGTTGGTGGCCTCCATACAGTGTATACTAAACTTAAGGTAATGTTATTTTTTTTCTACAAAAACTAATCATCATAATTAATATTAACCATATTATTAATCACATCACAGCGTTTAGATATTGTACCGATCGTATGTAATGTTGAACAGGTACGAATTCTACGTGGATTAGGAGCAATACAACCAGGTGTGAATCGTTGTAAATTACTATCAGCAAATGATTTCGATGTACTATACAAAGATTGTACAACTGCTCGGTAAGGAAATTTTATTTTTGTTAAAAAATAAAAATTTAAAAAAAAATTAACCATCGATAATAAGAATATTGAAAACTAATCATTGGCCATTTTCTTTGTTGATTTGTTTACAATTGCACTTATCATCTGGATTTTGTCGACAAAAAAACAAAACAAAACAAAACAAAAACAAAAACAAAAATACAATGATTCACTTCTATGCGTGGATGGATAATTATAATAACAACACATATGACAATCAATCAAAAATTTGGGAATAAAATGGACATTCCATTCAAGAAGTTGGTAAGTTTCAAAAAAATTTTTTTTTCCACATTCATTTTGTGTTGATGATGTTTATTATTACGGTTAATATATCAGTAATATAAACAAATTTTTATTAAATTTTCAAATCTCAAATCTCTTACTCTCAATGTCAATTATCAAACGCACGCACACACACACACAGCCATCATTATAATGGTATGATCTGGTACTTTTGGACGCGTTTGAGTGTGCTACGTTCTCATTTTTTTTCTGTTTTTGCTAATAATTTATTACGTCAACAATAAATAGACATTTCACAGAAACACAACGATTCAGTTTCGTTTTGTTTTTTAAATCTCAATTCGGTTCCATTGATTCATTCATCTCGAATGATGATGATGAGACTATGAAAAGGACAAATTACAAACTGCGAGAAAAAAAACAGCAAAAGCACTGGCAGCAGCAGCAGCAGTCAATTAATTGGCCAATAAATTAAATGAAATTTGAGATTGTTTAATTGAAAACAACAACAACAACAGCAACAAAAAAACTATCTCAATATACAGCTTATAGTTAGTGAGTGAATATTGAATGAATGAATGAATGGAAAAAACATGGAAATTTAACATCACATACACACACACACAGCATGGTCAAAAAAGCTTTTTTTTCGGGTGGCCATATTGTTTTATTTGAAGAATTGAATCAAAGTATGAATTGAAGTAAAAACCTCACCATTCTCAGGCTATTCTTTTTCTTCATCGTCGTCATCATCAACATCAAATAACAAGACTAACAACAACAACAACTCAATTTGTTTATGTTCGTTGTTTAGTCTTCATCATCATCATCATCATGATCAGCATCTAATGTTACATCTGCCTTAAAGAGATATATATCTATCTATCTATCTATAGAACGAAAAACGGTCAACAACATTGGAGATAACAACAGTAACTTCCTACGGATTTTTTTTTGTTTTGTTTTTATTTTATACACATTGAAATACAATGATGTAGCAGTAGTAGTGGTGGTTGTATTTGAATATTTATTTTTTTTATTTTTTTGATGAAATTTAATTTTTTTTTTTCGTTCATTCGATACATCCAAAAGAAGTCAATAAACTAGATTAATATAATTTATCATCGATAATTATTCTGGTTTGCAGAGAAAAAAAAACTGGTTGGTTGGTCGGTTGTTTTATTTATTTTTATTTATATTTGTTTGTTTGTTTGTGTAATGAAAATAAAAAAAAACATGATCATCTCGACCACTGATCATCTGTGCATCATGATTAAGATGATAGCAAAAACAATGGCCACCATCATCATGATCTTTTGGATATCATGATGATCAAAATGATGATGATGATGATGGCCACCATTATTATCATTATCATCAATTGTTTAAATAGAAATGAAACGAAGTTTCAAATGTTTTGAATTCACTCTGTATGTGTGTGTGTGTGTGTGTGTGCTATTTTGATTGGCGCCTTAATAATGGTGACCAATCCTGATGTTGATGATGATGATATACGGTATTTTGTGCACAATATAACTATATTTATCATGCCATGAACATTACCATTTGAAATCGAATGAAAAGGAAAAAAAAATAAATGTGAGAATTACATATAAATAAATGAATGAATGAATGAATGAGTGAATGAAAAATATGAATTTCAATAATATCCGCATCGAAATGCCGGATTTGCTGTCGGGTAAATTTTTTTCCATCCCTAATTTTTGATTTGATTTTTTTCATTCTTTGTGTGTATGTATGTGGTTTGACTTGGCAAGAATTTCTTATTTTTTTCACATTGATTTGTTCAATATCTGCGTGTGTGTGTCAGTGTCAGTGTCAGTGTTTACCTTGTTTCAGTGTTTTAGTATTATTAATTGTAAATTCAATGGCAAAAATTTTTTTTTTGTTTTTGTTTTGTTTTCCATTCCCATTTTTTCATTTCTGAATCATAAATCTTTTCAAATTGAGAATTTTTTTCTTTCAACTTTGAAAAAAAAAATAATAAATTGGTAACTGACACACACACACACACACACAGGTTTAATTGAGTAGAAAATTGTTGTTGAAACGCCCATCGATTCTTTTCTTTATTTTCTTTGGTTCATTGAAAATGAAATACAGAAAAAAAAACAATTACAGATGATAATTATTACTTTTACATTTGAAAACATTTTTTTTTCTTTCGTTTTTGTTTTCAATATTCACAATATTCTAAATGAGTAATGACTAATGACAATTGGCTTGAAAATTGGGTGTCAAATTGAAAATGATTAGGACCAGTTTTTTTTCTCTTGTTGTTTTCAAAATTGAAAATCAAAAAAAAAAAATGAAATGATTTTTTTCCTGGCCAGTATTGATCCGTAATCGCTTCGGGCAGAATTTTTGTACAGTGATCATCAGATCAATCCGTTTGGTTTTGTTTCGTCGTTTAATTAATGTGATTACGTGTGTGTTTTTGTGTGTGTGTGTGTGATATGAATAACAATAACAGGAAAATGAAATGATTTTCGTTTTGTTTTATATTTTGACATTTCAAAACACTCAATTCTCTTGCAATTTTCAACTCAAAACAACAAACAAACAAACAATTTAAATGTGTGTAAAAAGCTGTCAAATAATATGATCATGTCCGTGTTGATTTCAATTATTTTGAATTTAGTTTTTTTTTCATCAAATCTGTTGAACAATTTGTAATTGAACATTTGAGAATAGTTGATTTTGTGTACAATCATTAGTCCACTGACAATTACAAGTACATTTGCTATTTGATGTTTGCAATTTTGATTTCTTTGAAGAAAAAAAAAACACGCTTTTTTCAAGTGTTATAAATTTTTGAATATAGAACCACCAACGCAATTGGTGAACAAAAAAAAAGGTTTAATTTTTTTTCCCCACTGACCATTATCATTATTTGATTACAATGAATGAAAATAATGATTGCAATGATCATCATCATCATCATCATTTTTGAATTACATTGAAATTTGAATAGTCGAATCAAAAATTTTTTTTTCTTGTTTTTCATTGTATTGGCCATACACAATAATAAAGTGTCGAAAAAAAAAATTCTTCAAATCTTTGAAGAAAATTTTTTTTTTGCCTGACATTTAATTTACATCAATTTCATCATCATCATCATCATCATCGCATCATTCATTTTGATGTGAATGAATTGAAAATGGATTTTCATTTCTTTTTTGAAAAGAAATGAAAAATCCATTTTCAATTATAAATTTTCATCATCATTTCTTTATGGCTCAAACATCCAATTTTGATTCAATTCCATTCCATATATCTAATTCCAAACAACAACAACAACAACAACAAAAACAACCTTCAAATGCCGAACATAGAGAGGAAAAAAAATTAGTTGACAGGCCAATCATGTTTATGCTGTTTTTATTTTTTTTTCACTTTGTTGTTTATTTGTTTCCATGATAGGTATTTCATCAACAACAACAACAACAACAACAAAACAGCAATGAAAAAAAAACAACTGGAAATTGGTTGGAAAAAAAACTAAATTCCATTTAAACATAAAATCATCTATAATAATCATAGAAATCATATATTGTGTAGCAACAGACATATAATAAAACAGATAGATTCTATTAATAGATGAATTCTCGATATCCATAGAAAACAAAACAACAATTTAATGATTATCAGACATATACAAAGAGAAAGATATGATATTTGATATGATCATCATCATCGGTTTTCCAATTTGTCCATTGTTGTTGTTGTTGTTGTTGTTGTTGTTGTTATTGTTAATGGAATATCAATCAGTCAGTAAGTCAGTCAGTCAATCATCATTGAATGATTTTTTTTCTTCTGATGATGAGCATGATCATCATACAATGATGTCGTCGAATATTTTTTTTTGATTGGTTGTAATTGCAAAAATGTTTTCATCTTTCCTGTGCCATATCAGTTTGATGATGATGATGATGATTGGTTCAAAATTGATGATTGCCCATTTTTTTTTCATTTGTCTACCAGATCTGGTATTCAGATCAACCACACACACACACACACACACACACATACATACTGAAATAGATTCATTTTTTTTCAATTAAATTGTCTATATGATTCAGATGATTTTTGTTTTTTTTCTTTTCTTTTCTTTTATCCATCATCAATGAAATTCGCCACTCATCTTTGTATCATATTTTGGTTATGGTGATGATGATGATGAGTTTTTTAATGTTTCATCAAAAAAAAAATGAAAAAAAAACCTATTCAAATCGTGATGACCATTTTTATTTTTTGCAATCGTGTGTGTTTATCGTTTTTTCATCATCATCATCATTTTCGATATTTTATATTGAACAACAATTTGTGTTCCAACATTCATCATTCATTCGACAATCGATCGGATCGAATCGAATCGGATCGTGCCGATGTCAACACACACACACACACACACAAAACACAGACTTTGACTTTTGTATATACACAGAAAAAAAGGTAATAATATCTCATCACTCTCGGTTGGTGGTGATGGTGGTGGTGTGTGGCGGCAGGTCTTTTCAAAAAATTTTTTTTTGACGGAATTGTCAAAAATCAATCTCAAAACAATAACACGGCAATAATGATGATAATTTTTTTTTTTTTGCTTCACAAATCAAAATTGAAAAAAAAGTTCAATTTTTTTTCTTGTAAAATGCATGCAAAATTTACAGTTATTTTCTGGCTTGAAATTCAATTTTCAGTTCAATCATTTTTTTTTTTTGATTAATTTTTCATCAATAAAATATCGACATGTTGATGAATTTGCTTTTTGTTTGGCAAAATGCTAATCATGATGATGATGAAGATGATTAATTAATAAATTAATTGATTAAAATTTTCCATCGCATCATCATAATAAAATAATAGATAACAACAACAACAACAACAATAACAAAAAACAAAGAAATGTGCAAATGAGATAATTCGTGTGTGTGTGTATGTATTTGTGTCCTTGTGAATCACAACACAATTTCAATTGCAAATTTTGCAAATGAGAA